TGTTTAACTGGCAATGTCAGAAATTATTGACCTGAGTCCCCCACAGCTCAACATAACAGCATAGCTTTATTTCCTATATTTCATCATCATACTTTTCTACTGGATGGTTAAGACCTATGCAACAAGAGTTGTAGCTTTTGGGTCAGATAAGGTCAGTGAAATCCCCTCAGGATTTATGCTGAGATCCTGTACCTCAGATTGTAGAACCTTTGTCAGTGCAGCCATGTGGTTGAGTCACGGCCATTGATTGGCCAATGTGCTCTCTGTGAAAGCCTGAGAGAGTGTCTTCTCCCCATGTGACTCTCCTTAGGCACACTCTATGTCATCGATCACTTTCCTCTTTGGCCCCATAATCTTCTTGATCAGAAAATTTGGGACACTACCGAGGTCCATGACGTTACAGTACAAGTTCTCATATGTCCTGAGTCTTAATTGACCTTAGAAGGCTAGGGCCAAAATGTTGTGAGCTCCAACTTCTGATTCTTCTGAGTCTCCCGGATATTAGAATTACAGGTGTGCACCAGCACATCTAGCTGTAATTGAGCTCTCACGTGGTGCGTACATTGTATTTATATCCAAGAGTATGGACAGTGTGAATTGTTGACTGCTACACGTATTCCAAAATGTGTGTGCAGCTCTTCCAAAGCCTGCGATGCACAGGCCCCTTGCCCCACAAACGTCCATCAGATGGGGCGACACTGGGGACCCCTGGGCACTGGCCTTCCCACGATATTCTTGCCTGGGAGTGGGACATACAGGAGCCCAGGGTGCACTGCCCTGTGCACGACTTTGCCTCCTCTGGGCTGTGGCCACTGGGGAGGACAGAGGTGTCTGGAGGACACTTACTCGAGGGCCGCTCCCCTCCCCTCTTGCTCGCTTAGCTGGTGCTTCCACCTAGTTCACTGTCCTTTGTCGTAACTGAGTCTGGCCGTTTTATCGCCCAAACATGCAGTAACAAAGATAAAGAGCACTCGGTGGAGTAATTCTCAAGGGGTTCCTTTGGTTTCACTGCAGCTGATAAAGCCAGCCGCGGGGCCTTCAGCTCGGTGAGGACTCTGCGTCGGTGGCACACAAGCTCCACGGAGGGGGCTAATCTGTGTGCTGGAAGGAAGGGTATCACTTCAAGGGACGTTCGCGTCACTCTGCCGGCAGGTGACCCCAGAGCTAGCTGAGAATCGAGCCGTTAAATGTCACACCGTGATGTTAAACACAGCCTGCATGTAAATGGGGAGCTGGCTGGGCCGTGATTCTCCAAGCGGCAGGAGGGGTCAGCACCCTGATTGGTATGGTGTGTCACTCCTACGTGCCGTCAGTTCTGCCAGAGTGAGGTCAGGCTGAGCTCACAAATGTCACTGGCCTCACAGGACTTGGGAACACGCTTTGTAGACGTCCCGTGAACTTTTTTCCTTCTCTGTGGCTGCCCGTCCGTGGTTACTTCACTGATGATAAGCGTGGGAGGCTGGGGAAGGAGTATTTCAAAACATGTCTCATAATAGTTATTCTTTTCTTTTTTGGTCCTGGCTATTGAGTCCAGTCTTTTTTTGTTGTTTCTGTTGTTCCTTTTTTATTTTGAGACATAGTATTGCTAGGTTATTAAATTGTTGAGATGAGTTTGAACTTGTGATCCTCCTGCCTCAGCCTCCCAGAGTGCTGGGATTACAGGCACGCACAGTTAGCTGCTATTTTCCTGTGAGTTTCGGGTCTGGCGTTGAGTTAACCACAACATGGTTTCATTGACTCCTCGTTGATGGAGGGTGCTGCGTAGAGTTACAAGCTGTACTTGCACATCTCAGTACTCGAGGAGGGTGAGGAATCTGCCTGAGTTGGCACACCTAGCAATGACAGAGCCCAGATTCAATCAAGGGCAGTGGCAGCAGAGGCTGGGCTCCCGACCGTGGTGCTGCCCTCCGACACTCCCTATACCTGGTGTGTGCACGTGCGTGTGTGCGTGTGTGCGTGTGTGTGTGTGTGTGTGTGTGTGTGATGGAACTGTGATAAGGGAGGGAAATGAAAGCCTCACTGAGATAGGGCTTCTCAACGAATAGGATGACGGTAGCAGGGTTTTTTTTAATAGAGAAATGACAAGCATCAGTGGGGAAATTGAACCACTGTTCATTGCTGGAGGGAATGGGAAGAATCACAGCGGCTGTGGAAAGTAAAATCATAGCTCCTCCAAATGTCACACGTGGGGTTGGGGTTGTAGCTCAGTGCCACAGCATCTGCCTGGCAAGCACAAGGTTGTGAGTTCAATTCCCAGTTACTGCACCCCAGAAAACCAAAGTCACAGATCCACACAGAAAACTACACATCGGCTCAGTGTTCTTAATAGTCGTACTCACAAGAGCCCCCAAGCAGAAACAGCCCAAGGGGCGGTTAACTGATGGACCGAGAAAGAAGATGTGCAAAGAGGGCCAGAGAGATAGCTCGGCTGCTAAGTGCCTGTGTAGGCAAGTGCTGGGACTGGGGTTCAATCCCTGCACCACATGCTGCACCAGCCCTGCCCCAGATGCACTGAGCCAGCCATGGAGACCTGGCGTGGTGGCGCATGCCTGTAATCCCAGTGCTGGGGAGGCTGAAAGCAGGAGGGTCACTATGAGTCCAAGCTGCATAATGAGAGAGAGAGAGAGAGAGAGAGAGAGAGAGAGAGAGAGAGAGAGAGAGAGATGCTAGAGCCACATAAATATTATTCAGACTCAAAAAGGAATGCAGCCAAGGGCGGAACAGGGCTACGGGGTAAATCCTGAGAGTCCTTGACTGACCTTATCAGATACAAAAGTTGCATTTCTTGGGGCTGGAGAGATGGCTCAGTGGTCTAAAGCACCTACTTGAAACAAGTTTGGCAAAGCACAGGGACCGCGGTTCAATCCTCCAGCACCACATGCCAGCCAGCCCCGCCCCCTGGTGGGCTGAGCTGGCCACACACACACACACACACAATAAATAAATGTAATAAATATAAATAAATATTTTAAAAAAAAGTTGCATTTCTTGTTATATAGGTCTTGCTGTATTTTGGTCTTAACCATCCAGCAGAAAAGTATAAAAACAAGGTATATAAAGTAAATTCATATTAATATGATGAGCTGCAAAAGGCTCAAGTCAATAACTTCTGAGGATAACCCACTAATATTATAGACTGCTAGGCAGAGTTGGATTGTTTAGTTGAATTCAAACACCTGTAGTATTTAGATGCCAACAGAATATTCACCTCTGACAGAACAAAAAAAAAAAAGGATACAAAGGAAAGATAATTTTGTATTTATATATACAAAATAGTTAGGATAGATACACAGCTACTTTCACTTAATTCAGTGAGAAGAAAGAGGTGTACTAACAGTGTTTGGACAGGATAACCTGTTTGCTTCTTGTACTGTGCATAACCACTAAGAAGATAACAGTGTACAATGTGTTGATTATCAAAACTGTCCTATTACTCAGCTGTGAAACTGTCTCATTCATATTTATTTCTCAATACAAAAATTAAAAAAAGGAATGCAGTACCAATTCATGACCAACATGAAAAGACCTTGAAAACGTGACACGAAGTGAAAAATGTCACTTGTGGACCCCATTGATATGATTGATATGATCGCATTTTTATTAAATGTCCAGAGTAGGCAGATTCACAGAGACAAGAAATAGATTTGCAGGTGCCTGGGTCTGGGGTGGTGACTGGCCACAGAATGGGATTTCTTGTGGACAGGCGGCTACTTTCCGAGTAGGTCCTGGTGACGGTTGCATTGTGCACTGAATGTATTAGTAGTGAACGTGGTAAAGCTCTCTGAATTGTACACATCAAAGTGGACCCCATTCTAAATTTTGTTTCCTATTTTAATTTTTTTGAAAAGGCAACTTTAGGGCCAGATCTAGGGGAGTCCTTGAGTCCTGGATGTATGGTCCAGGTTTTACCTGCAGGCAGCAGGGAGCCCCTGGAAGTTTCTAAGGTGGACAGCCACACGGATTGTCTCGTGTGAACTGCTGAGTACTCGGCAGCAGAAACGCGAGGAAATCCAGCTCCTCTGCTGCCCCATCCACCTCTCAGGCCCCTCTCACTCGCTCCTGGAGGATCATTCTTTCCTGCTTGGGGCTGAACGACCTCGGGGAGGGTCGGGCTCCTTTTACAGCCACGAGAGCATCCTCTCTTCCTTTCTGTCCTCTTCTCCTTTGTGAGCTGCCTTATGTCGTCCTAGAGCCCCTTGCTCTCCTCCTCCTCCTCCTCCTCCTCCTTCTCCTCTTCCTCCTTCTCCTCCTCTTCCTCCTCCTTTTCTTCCTTTCTTTCTTCTTGCCCTTCTTTTAAATCCAAGATCTTGGTTTTCTAAAGTCCTACTTGGGTCCCCACTTTGCCCACGGATGTCACACAATGCCACACAAATGATGCCCCTCGTCCTTCACCAGTCCCACCACCCATGAAATGCCAGCTGGAGCATCCAGGATCTTATGGAGCTTCGGGGACAGCTGGCAGCCAAAACATTAGTCTTCATCAGGAAGTGGTTTTGGGGTTGGGTAGATAGAAAGTTCAGCAGTCTAAGTGCCTGCCTGGCAAGTGGAAGGACCTGAGTTCGATCCCTGGTACGCATGCCATGCCGACTTGGACATCGGGCGTGGTGACGCACACCTATAATCCCAGAGTTGGGTAGGCTGAGACAGGAGTATCGATATGAATCTGAGCTGCATGGAGGGACCCTGTATCAAACAAATATGTATATATATATTTTTTAGAAGAAGTGGTTTCATTCCTGGAATCTCAAATATTTTAAGGACACGCTAAAAGCTTTGGCACAGAGAACTGCTGAAGGGACACATCCTTTCCTAACAGGAGAGAGCCATTTCCAAGAAGCAGTTGGAAGTGCCACTATCAGTGGGACCCAGGCTCTGGGGACTTTGAGGTCAGCAGCTCAATGAGCCTCCTGTCAGTAGGTGGATCTTGTGGTTGGGTGGGGACTTCCCACGAAGCCCCGCCTCCCTGAACCACACTCCCAGGGCTGACCAGCAGTGCTTGCTGGGGCTCAGAGCTCACTGTGAGCTGTCCCTGCAGCAGTGGAAAACTCTCTGCGGCTCACGATCGCAAGGTTGGTACCTCGGGGACCTGAGCTGGGGAGACGGGACTGGAAGTCTGGCCTTGTGAGGAGTGTCTGCCTATACTTTCTGCCCTTCCAATCTGTGATAACTGCTCTTCAACAGGCATTTGTATACAGATTTGTTAGCAAATGAAGCGTTTAAAAAGTTTTCAAATCTCTAAATAGGCAAGTGCTTGCATGTGTCGAAGGAAACGTGGTTGAGTGCTGAGCAGACAGCTCTTGCAGTGTCAGCGATTACCTGGGCAGCCAGAGGGAGGAGCCGCCCTGTGCTTCCCAGGCAGCCAGCCAGGGCCACATTGCAATCTGGATGATGATGCTGTGAAAGTCCCCAGAAGTTCTTCCTATTGTTCGTTTTTGTGGTTTTTTGTTTTTTTTTTTAAAGAATATGTTGGAAATGTCACTGTGAGACTTCAGCAAACACACACAGAGCTGCATGTTCAGTCACACCTGTCCTGTCCCAGTAATAGAGATTTCTACAAATTGCTACTTTTCACAGTATTCCATTGTTCATTCTGCCTAAAAATGGTAGGTGCTTCTAAGAAGGAGAAACCTGGGAAACGCTTGTGTCTTGCAGGGTGACACTGGTGAGGCTGTCTACTTGGTTGCTGTTCTCCTGGGACCCTCCCTGAGTGTCTGATCCATGCGGGGTCTGGGCATGGAAAGGGGCTTTCGCAGTGTGGTGATGGCTGTGCTGTTGGTCGCCAATGTCGAGAGAACGAGGTCCATGCTGGACTCCTGTGCTGACTGTCCAGCGGGTAAGTACTGACTTCACATGTTCAGTGACCTGTCTTAGGGTTTGGTTAGGGTTTGGGTCTTTTTTTGTTGTTACTGGGGGTTGCACTCAGGGCCTTTGCACTGAGCTACATCCCTAGCTCTGTTATTTTTTGTTCTCTCTCTCTCTCTCTCTCTCTCTCTCTGGAACCAAGGATTGAACTCAGGCCCTGGTGCTTGCCAGGCAAGCACTTATTCTGCTGAGCCATCTCCCTGGCCCCTTAGCTCTGTTCTTTTTATTTTTAGCAATTCAAGGTGTCAAATTACCCAGGTTGCACTCCATCTTGGGAACTCCCTGCCTCAGCCTCCCAGAGTGGTGGGACTATAAGCATAGTGTCACTGTCCCCGACTGCTAGGTCTTTTGTTCATTCACTTACAAATATTTGGCGGATGTCACAAACTATCTGTATGAACACAGCGCAGTCATTTGACCTCTGGGCCGTGGCTGTCAGCTGGGATAATCAGTCAGCCTGTTTCGTGTGACTTACGATGGCAGGAGGATGTTACGGCAGGCTTAGCTCAGTATATGGCGCATGGCAAGCCTTGAGGAAAATGTTGGAGTTGTTCCCTTTCCTTTTTTGCTTGTTTTGGAAGCTCAGGGCATTGCACTTGCCGGGCCGGCTCTTATGCCACTCAGCTACCTCCCCGGCTCCAGAGCTGTTTTCAAGGTCCTGGGTTAAGCTGGGGTGCCACAGGGTGTGAACAGGAGGCAGATGGTTTGACCCAGTAAGGAAAGTCAGTCATGTATAAACCCCAGTGCCCCAGTGAAGGGGACCCGTCTTCTCCCTGACGTGTCACATTACCCTCCTGGATCCATCAGGAGAAGCCTTTGTGTTGTATTTGACAGGTAGAGGAAAGTTTCTCCTTCCTCTTTGTTTCTTTGTTTCGATATTTGCATTTTGCTCTTTCTAATCCTATGATTTTTCCCCCTGTATTTTAGGGAAGGGTCTACAGGGTGTTCGGGGTCTCACTACTCGATCGGACTCATAATGATCGGCCTGTTTACAGCCTCCCAAGAGCTGGGATCACAGGAGCGTGTGACCACACCCAGTCTCAATGGCTGTCTCAGCGTGGCTCAGGGGCGGAGCCGGCACAGCAGGCCCGGGGAGCGAACCCCTGGCCCCTGTGCCTGTTTGCAGGCTCTTTAATCCGCTGAACTATTTGGCCGGCCCTTCCTGTGATTATGTTAAGGGCAGTCTTGCAAATATATAACTTAAAAAAGTTAATCAACAGAATAAAGTCTGTCATTGTGACACCTAGAAAACAGGCCATGCTTTGCTTTTAATTTTCTTACGAATGTCATGATGCTTTGGGTGACGGGTGGTCATTGTCAAACGTGTATGCCTATTATTTGCATCTATTAGGTACTTTCTGTGAGAAAAATAAGGATCAGCCCTGTATTCCTTGCCCCACAAATAGCTACTCCAGCACGGGCGGACAAGCCGTCTGCAACATCTGCAGAAAATGCGAAGGTATGGTTTCCAAGATGCGCCTTTTCCCTGGAAGGCCGTTGGGAGGACGGGCGTTTATTCTGTCTACTGGTTGCTCTCTCCTGCCAATCTTAAGCAGCAAAGATGTTGGTTCCTCTGTCCGGGGTTAAGTGTAGTAAATCAGTTAATGTAATAGCAGTTACTTGTGGTTAAGCTTTTTAAATAGTAGAGGAAATACTCACTTGCTAAGACAGGGCGCTTGAATGAGCAGTGTTAAAGTGTCTTCGCAGAGAGTGCAAGTTCAGTGACGGACTCCACGGCGGTCAGCTTGGACGGGAGCCACAGGGAGCCTAACTTCTATCGCCGAGCTTAAGCTTGCTCCCTCAAGTGCAGGGGGAGGGTCATCTAACACACGATGTCATCTGCGCATTACAGGTCCCTTCAGGACAAAGAAGCCCTGCTCGCCCACCAGCAATGCCGAGTGCGAGTGTCCCCCAGGGTACCGCTGCTCCGGGCCAGGCTGCGCCAGGTGCCACCCCCACTGTGAGCGAGGCCAGGAATTCACAGAAGAGGGTGGGTCTGCTCCTCCTCCTCCTCCTTCGGTCCCGTGCGTTAAGTAGATCCGTCCTGTGACTTGTGGAATCTTGAAGTAATAACTAACCAGCATGAAGTATGGCATTGATGTCACCTTTTAATTCATGGTAGATTTTATTAGTGGAATAATAGTTCCATTATTTTTCCATAAATGGAAATACATTTGAAATCAGGGTGTTCAGTAATAGAACCATGCGTTTTTCCTATTAAATGGTTGTTATTTTGCTTTTCAAATTTTGTGTGGTTCATCTAAGAGAAACTATGTGATATTTAGGGGTTTTTTTTTGTGTGTGTGTGTATGTGTGTAGGGTCTCACTATGCAGCTCAGACTCATAGTGATCCTCCTGATTCCTGTCCCCCTAGTGCTGGGATTACAGGTGTGTGCCGCCACGCCCGGACTCCATCACCGGCTCAGTGCACCTGGGGATGGGACCAGGGCAGCATGCGGTGCCAGGAATCAAACCCTGGCCCCTGTGCTTACTCAGCAAGGTTTAGTCCGCTGAGCTATACGGCCAGCCCTACCATGTGATACTTAAACCTGAGTGTCCACTTCATTTAACGTAGCTGCAGGGGGCACCAGTTGTTCAGAAGGCTGAGTTCACCCTCCAAGGCAGAGCAGGACTCCCTTGTGCAGTAAGGCCATGTTTTCTTCAGCCATCATCTGTAGCTGGACTTTAAGGCCACTTCCAAGACTTGCCTATTATAAGCTGTGCGGCTATAAACGTGGGGGTGACGGATCACTGAAATGTGATGTTTTTAACTCCTCTGGGAAAATACCTAGAGGAGTATTTATCACAGCTGTGCTTTCCCTCCAAGGTTGTAAAGACTGTTGCTTTGGGACATTTAATGATAAGAAAGGTGGCGTCTGTCGACCCTGGACCAAGTAAGTATCACTTCATTTTGCCTAAAAAATAAACCCTCCAGTGTAAACTGAAAGACAAAGAATGCTACCCTGAAGCTTTTTCCCACCTACAGAATGCAGGGTGACAGACATTCCTGCTGACAGGCAGTATGGGGACACTGGGGGACACAGAGACTCAGGCCGAAGCAGACATTTTTCTCTAGGAGTCATGTCCCAAGCGCTGAGCTCAGGTTCGCCAGCCGGAAGAGGTCTGCTCCTGTCCGATCTCGGCTCCTTTGCCTTCCCTATCTTGAAGGGACAAGGAACTTCTGCCACTCCCAGTGTCATGTGCACTGGGGCATGTGGCCGTCACAGGGAGGGAAGGAACCCACGGTGTCTGGTCAGAGGTGGAAGTGGCCATGAGGTTTGTGCTGGGCCTGCTCTGTGTGTGCCCAGGACACGGCGGCACAGGTGTGCGGGGGGCTCAGAGACTCCAGGCAAGCCGGCTTTAGATTCCACATGCCTTTGGCCTGTTCTTATTTGATTTTTGCCACTAGAAGGTCATTTTTATTATTTTACAGTAACATTTTTATTCTATTTTATACATGTTCTGGTTTGATAACAGATTAAAATGGATGGATGGATGGAACCTGGCCTCAAACTCCAGGTGATCCTCCTGCCTCAGCCTCTAAGGTGCTGAGATTAGTGGTGCAGCCCACCATGTCTAGCTCTAGAATTTTTCTAATGATCTTTTTTGTCATTCTTTGTCTTTCTATCTCTGTCTCTGTGTCTATGTCTCTCTCTGTCTTTGGCTCCCTCTGTCTCGCTGTCTCTGTCTCTCTGTCTCACTGTCTCTGTCTCACTGTCTCTGTCTCTCTGTCTCGCTATCTCTGTCTCTCTGTCTCTGTCTCTCTGTCTCTCTGTCTCGCTGTCTCTGTCTCTCTGTGCTGGGAATTTGAACCCAGGACCACGCATATACTCAACAAGTACTCTACCACTGAGCTATAGCCTGGCCTCCCGTTTTTAAAGTCTTTCAACACAAATTGGTCAGAGTATTTAGCTGAGTCTGCCTGGATGACTGGAGTAGGCCTCCAGAGGGTGGGTGGATTTGGGCGGGCTAAGGAAAAGGAACAAATATATGGACAGCCATGCTGGTGATGTGGAGGGGGAGGATGGCCACGTGGCCAGGAGTGGCCAAGCATGAAAGAGTGTGTCTCTGGGGTGTACCCAACCACTTCTCACCACCACCTTCCTTTGTGGAGGCGACCTGAGGCTTAGGCTGTGTGGCTCAGCAGCGTCACTCTGGGAGGTGTCAAGTACAGATTGCACCCTGCGTCTGAAATCCAGGCTGAGCTAACGCTGTTCCACCCTCCACATGTGCTAGAGATGGGGGGGGGGCATGAGCCTGAAGTGGGGGTGGGTAGAGACAAAAGACTAACTTACTAGGCTAAATGGCCTGCATTCTGCAGCCCTGGAGCTAGGGGTGCCCTGCACTGCCCCCCAGCCTGGGGAGAAGGGAGGATCAGCTGGGGCAGGTGGCGGAGGGAGCTGCGGGGACTTCACAAGTCAGGTGCACACTGGAGGAGGCCAGACAGCAGGGGGCACTTTGTCATAACTAACATCTGCTGCTTGCCTATGAGCCCCGGCCCGCCCAGCCTTGTCACTAGGCTCCTTTGTTGGGTGACAGGTGTCAGAATTTTTCCTTGGGATCCTCTGTATCAAAATTAATGATCTGACCCTTTCCCTTTGAACTCTCCAAGATGCTCTTTGCATGGAAAGACTGTACTCGTGAATGGGACGAAGGAGAGCGATGCGCTCTGCGGGCCAATTCCAGGTGACCTCTCTCCAGGTACTGCCTCCACCCTGGGCCTTGTCTGGGAGAGAAAGCAAAGTGCGTGTCCCCTGCCTGTCCCAGCCAGTGTAGAGTGCGACATCCCAAATTCTTGACCACAGCTCCAAATCCCTGGTGTCCTCCTCCCTGTCTGCTGCCTTCGGGGCCATCCATTTTCCTCAGGTGTTACTCAGCCTGAGGTGCCCACTGGTGGGCCAGGCACGGGGAGAGTCACCCCAGTAGACACTGCACCATTCTGAATGCCAAGAAAGGAGGTTATAAAGCCTCATATGTTCTATATACCAGAAAGGCCCAAGCTGCTATTTTTTATGAGCCTTCAGGGCAATTTAAATTGTTTTTGTTTCTATTTATTTATTTTTTAGAGTCATCCAACTATAAGACACTAGGTTGGCAGGTCAGTCCTGAGCTTAGGAGCTCCAGGGTGGGCAGCAACCCAAGCATCCATACAAACACCCTCCTTCCCGGTCTCTCCCGTCCTCCACGCAGGGCCCTCTCCGCAGCTCTTCACCGTCCTCCTGGTGCTGATTGTGGTTGTGTTCCTGGTGATCTTCTGCTTGTGCCAGCGCTCCGTCCTCAACTGGAACAGGAAGAAGTTTGTGTACATGTTCAAACGACGTAAGGCCGGCAAAATAGCCTTAGACGTGTGCACTGAAAGGACAAGAGTTTTCCAGTGTAGAGAGCCAGCTTTCTCGTTGCTGGCACACAGCGCCCAGTGCCCCCAGCTTAAAGGAGAATTGGATTGATTTTGTTCACGGTTTCGGGAGATGCAGTCTGTGGTCCAGGCCGGAGCATTGTCATGGAAGGGTGTGGTGGAGCAAGGTGTTCAGTTCATGGGTCAGGAAGCAGAGCAGGGACACAGCACTAGGAGGGAACAGCCAGAGACCAGGCATCATCCACAAGGTCACCCTCCTTGTGGGACATTGCCCACCCCACAGGGCAATGTCTGGGGACAGTTGTGGTGGCCTCGGCTCAGTGGTGTGAGGTGCAATTGGCATCTAGAGATAGAAGCCAGGACACTGCTAAGCCACAATGCACCGTGTACAGGCTAGACCCCAACAAAGATGTGGCCCCCAACATTAGGAGTGTGGGCATGGGACAGCAGTGGCAATGGGACAGCATATCCCAGGTCTAGAAAAATGGGTCTGAGTGTGCTGCAATGTCAGGTGTGCAAGTGTGCACGTAGCACGTGGATCAGTCACCTGTCAGAGGGGACTCAAGGAGGAAGCCGCCCGCCCATTCCGAGCTGCTCTGAGGTGGGCATGGAGATTGAGGAGAAGGTTTAAGGAAGTGGCTTATTATAGCACCAACCCGGATTATAGAGATTTTAATCTTCAGCGTCCTTCATTAGCATTCCTCACATACAGTGTCTGGCAGGGTCAGTGCCTGCTAGCCAAGGCAGACGGTGTTCGGAGCACGCCGGCCATCTGTACATGGAGGGGGCCTGGTTTTGAGTTTTGTCTTCATGGAGGACAGGATGAGTGATAACAGGCTAGGCTTAGCAAGAGCGATTCCTGGACAGGAAACACATTCTGGGGGCAAAACTGTAACCCTTGTCACCTAAAACCCTCTAAGATTAGATGATGCTTATTTGGAGGTTGTTAAAGACATTTGAAGATAACTAGCATTAGTAAGTCCTTAATCTAAACACATGCTACTATAGTTTATTGAAAGGTTCTTTTAAAGAGTATGGGACTCTTACAGTGTGAAAGACTCAGAGAAACACACACATGGACGGCTGAACTCACTGTAAAACCAACCGTAACTGAGTGAAGAAACAGAACGTAAGACGCTCCCCGGAAACCCACTGTGAAGCCCCTTAGACACACATAGCCACCCGGCCACAGCTGCTAACCACACTGAGATTTTTATAGCATCCACTTCCTTGCTGTTTTGTGTAGTTTTGCTACGTAACAGCTCAGTTTTGACAATGTGGGCTGCTCTTGAACTTCAGCCAGGTGGGATCCTTCTCTTTGGACCCCATGCCCTGCCACAGTCATGTAACAGTGTCGTCTCTATGATGTCGAGTTCATCTCTAGGTGGTACATGGTTCTCTGTGTCCCATGTCCTGACGATGGTGGACACGGGGCTATCTACCACTTGGACCTACGAGACAGAGTGATGGTGGAGTGTTTGACATATGGGGGGAGGGAACTCAGGCCCTTACACTGAACTGCAGCCCCTTTTTTTATTTGTTATTTTGAGACAGTGTCTTGCTAAGTCATTAAGTTGCCCAGGCTGGGCTCAAAGCCTGCCATCCTCCTGCCTTGTCCCCTTCAGAGCGCCGAGATCACAGGTGTGCACCACCATGCCTGATTGGTTGAATCATTTTGTCCGTGCTCAAGTGAACATATCTTGGTCGCAGTAGGTTTACTAGCCTAGGCATAAGCCTTGTGGGGTATGAAGAGCAGGGATCTGGGTCCTCAGTAGACAGACAGTTTCTGCAGTGGCCGGAGCCCCTCTCCAGGGGCTGGAGAGCTCCTCTGGCTCGTGTCCTTCCCCACTCTGGGTGTTGCCAGACTATTTTTATCTCTCTGGCTCAGCGTGGTTGTATTTGCATTTCCCGATCTCTACTCGTGTCTGATTGGCCATCTGGATTTCCTCCTTGGTGAGGCCCTGATGAGTCTCTTGGGCATGTTCCCATGGGCGCATCTGTCCTTTCCTCATTGGCTTACAGGCCCTCTTTGGTCTGCGTGAACCTCTTTTCCTACTCTGTGGTTCATTGTTTCATCCTCCTCTATGAGCTTACACCTCTCGTAAATCTCCATGGTGTCACCTACACCCAACTCCCAGGACCACCATTCGCCCCCAACAGGACACCCAGGGTCCTCAATAAGATGGTTGTCAAGTATTTATGAGTAATTAGTGAGGTGTAATGGGATTACAATTAATTTTCATTTTCTAAAAACTTTAGGCCATAAAAAAAAAAACCTTTGAAACAACTGTGGATTCACAGAAAATCACAGATAGTGCAGAAAAGCATCCCATGCCATTCCTGGCATCCCCACCACGGGGCATAGGGCAGCACCAGCACAGTGTGCGCTGTGTGTGCAGCGGTGTATGTGATTTCATCCCGCCTGGAGTCACGCACCAGCAGCATGACTGGAATGCAGAACCAGCCACCACCGCAGAGATCAGCCCTCACATGGTACTTTGCCCACACCCACCCACTCTCCCTTCTATCATCATTTTTAGGTGTAGGTGTGTTCTATAAGTGGAATTGTCTGGTGTTTGACCCTTTTGACCCTTTAAGATTGGCTTTGTTTTTACTTGGGATGATGTTCGTATACTGTAATCCATGTCACTATGTTTCAGTAGCTCCTTCTGCTCTTTTTTTCTTTTCTTTTTTTGTGATACTGGGGATTGAACTCAGGACCCTGTGCTTGCCAGGCAGGCGTGCTTATTGTACTGAGCTATCTCCCTGGTCCAACGCCTTCTGCTCTTGTGGGCTGGTCTTGAATGCCTGGCCTCACAGACTCCTCCCACCTCAGCCTCCCTGGCGGTTGGTGCTAGAGTTATGTGCCGCAGCGGCTGCTCTGCATCTTCGCTGTCCTCACTGGGTTCAGGTATGTTCCTGCTTGCGTGGAGAAGCATTTTCATGCTGGCTGTTCCCCTTCGTGTGAGTGTCCCCTGGCCACAGGCTTCTGTTGACTGTCTTTTATTTTTCCATGTCAAGGTGAGATCTTGGTTGTTAGTATAAGAGATTTACCATTGAAACGCAGGCATTGTGGGTATTGAGTTATGAGACTGGGTCGAATTGAAGTCTCCTAATCCCTCAGGCTTCCTCTGACTCCAAGCCCATGACGGCAAGGTGGGGTGGATATCCAGGGTGTGCATGAGGCCTCTTCACATGAAGGGCTTTTTGGGGTTGCCCGCTCTATGGGGGACATCAGGCACCTGCCAGACTCAGTTGACACCAACCCAGCTGGGATGGGAAAGGGCCCTTGGCCACTGTGAGGAGTGAGCTTGCCACTACTAGCATCGTGAAGTCGGACTCTCCATCAGCCCTCTGGGGACACTCACCCCAGCAGGAAGGGAGAAGAGAGTTGGCACAGCTCAGGGAGAATGCGGCTTTTTTTTTTTTTTGGTATTTTAGGGAATGGTCTACAGGGTGTTCAGGGTCTCACCACTAGATCGGACTCCTAATTCCGCCTGTTTACAGCCTCCCAAGGGCTGGGATTATAGACATGTGTCACCATGCACAGTCTCAATTGCCATCTCAGTGAACTCCGGGGCCGGGGCTGGCATGGCAGGCAGAATGGCGGTGCTAAGCCCCATTTACAGATGGGCGTGGATGTGGTCCACAGCTGTGTCCATGATGGCTTCTTGGAGTGGAGAGCCACAGGCTAAAAGCTTTGGCCTTGGTGGCCGCCCACTTCCTGGCCTTGTGGCTGGAGCGTGCAGGCTTTGCTCCATCTGTTCTGGTCTCCACTCACTGGCATCTTTAGGTTGTTAGCTGTACCTGCTTCCGAGCTGGGGAGTCCACAGCAGAAAGAGAACCTGGACAGCACATGGCCACCACAGTCCTCGGACCCTGAGGATTGTTAGCTGGTCTCTCTTCTCTAGCCTCCCAGAGACTTCTACTGTTTTATACACAATGTACACAGTTTCAGCAGTCCTCAGAGGCACAGACATGCCAGAGAATGACATCTCCAGCTCCCAAGGCGGGTCTCTGTGTTTTAGTTGATCTTCAGTACAGTTTCCAAAGATGCCCACTGATATGCTGAAAGTCTTGACCATTGGTCGTAAGTATTTGGAGTTAGTGAGATTGTGTGGTCATGGTGCCGTCGTGGATAGTGCCAAGTCTGTGGAACTGGGATAAGGCCTTGAGCTGGCCAGGCTACGAAGGGCTGTCTGCTCGGCACTGAAAGTGGCTCAGCAGTAATGTAAACACTTCGGGCTGGGGAGATGGCTCAGTAGAATAAGCGCTTGCCTGGCAAGCGCAAGACCCTGAGTTCAATCCCCGGTACCGCAAATAAATAAATAAATACTTCACGCTAACATGCAAAAGAAAACCAGGAAGTAGCTGCAGAAACCAGATCTTTGCTTACTGACAGATGGAAGTAGTGGAAATAGCTTTAAACTTGATGCCACCAAATTTTCAAAAGAAAATGTCTAATCTCTAAGTGATCGGGAGACTAATACATATCTGGGTGACTTAAAACTGCTGTTTTGTTTAGAGTATTCTATGCTATAGTCTCAGTCTCTCTCTCTCTCATCTTTTTGATTTATTTATTTATTTATTTATTTGAGAGAGAGAGAGAGAGAGACCAGCTCAGCCCACCAGGGGGCAGGGCTGGCTGGCATGTGGTGCTGGGGGATTGAACCACAGTCCAATGCTTTTGCTAAGCTTGTTCTAAGTAGGTGCTTTAGACCACTGAGCCATCTCTCCAGCCCTCTCATCTTTTTGAGACAGGGTCTTGCTATGCAGTTCAGGCTGGCCTTGAGCTCACTTTGTAGCCCAGGCTGGCCTTCAACTTGCGGTGATCCTCCTGCCTCAGCCCCCAGAGTGCTGGGATTACAGGGGTGCTCCACCATGCCTGGCACCAGGCCTGGCTTACCGTAATTCTTGCTACATACTTTTCTAGTCATTGTAGAAGATAAAAAAAGTTTTTACATAAATAAGTTTTTCAAGTAAGCTTTTAGCTGGTGGAATATTTGGTAAGAGGATAAAAATCTTCATCCTTAAAAAAGCTCACACGTGTTTTGAACTCTCCTGTGGATAAGTTTGTGAGTTAATGCAAAGAATGCCCCCCGCAGCTGTTCTCGGTGTGGTTCACGGCACGCAGGTGTTACGGGTTTAACACGGACAACAAAATCTAAGTATCTTTTACCTTATTTTCTAGCGTTTATGAAACCAGCACAAACGGCCCAAATGGAAGACGCGTGTAGCTGCAGATTTCCACAAGAAGAGGAAGGAGAGTGTGAGCTGTGAGGGGACCGGAGAGCACGGGGACGGTCTTCACAGGACGCAGAGGAGAAATTGCAGGGCGCCCACTCGCGGCCTCGGCAGTGGGAAACACCGTGCAGGACAGACCCACACTTACCTCCAGCTGTGTTTTCTAATGCTAATGAATTGATCTTTAAAAAGAACTACTGTTAGGTGGGCATGGGGATGCACACCTGTAATCCCAGCACTGGGAGGCTGAGACAGGAGGATCACTGCAAGTTCGAGGCCAGCCTGGGCTACATAGCGAGTTTGAGGCCAGCCTGAATTATATGGCAAGACCCTGTCGCAAAAAAAAATGTAATAATGTTACTAATGTTACAGTGGAAATCAGGGAACTGAGGTGGTGGCTAGACAGGCTTTAAAAAAAAAAAAAAAAAAAAAGGATCACTTTGAACAGAACTGGCAGTGAGAAGTGAGAGACTTTTCTAGATGTGACTTAACAGGTTTGGCCATTTTCTATGAAACCCAAAGAAAATAATGGTGCCAATTCTGTCATGTTGGTCAACAGTCTAGCTAAAATCATCACAACCAATGCAGGTGTGTGTGTGTGTGTGCGCTAATATGACATATGACAATAAGCTGAGATGTAGTGTACTTTCCATTGGGTCTGTCACGGAGCACAACAACCTTCTCAGTGTCAGGAGGAAGATGATGGCACCTCAATACCAAGACCTCTTCGACATTGAGAAAGAGTTTCAGAAAGGAGCCAGGTGTCTGCCGATCTCACGGTCGTCTCCCTCTCTGTCTCTTTTGTCTCTGTCTTTCTGTCCCAAATTATGTAGATAAGTGGAGCCTCATGAAAGGCATTAAGCACAATCAGAAAATCAACACCGGTAGCCTCACAGGGCAACCAAAGCGCTAGAGCCAGGCTGCCAAACTTCCATGGCCAAATCCAGCCACTATTTGCCTTTGTATGGCTCAGTAGGCTTTACATCTTTAAGTGGCTAAAAATACAAAAGAAGTGGCCGGACATGGCGGCGAACACCTGTAATTCCAGCACTTAGGAGACTGAGGCAGGAGGATCACTGTGAGTTTAAGACTGGACTCAAAGTGAGCTCAAGGTTAGCCTGAACGGCATGGCGAGACCCTGTCTGAAAAAGACAAATAAAAAATCAAAAGAATATTTCATGGAACATAAAATTGTACAAAGCTCAAATTTCAGAGTCTATAAGTGAAGTTTTAGGGGTACACAGTCACATCTGCTTATTGCATTGTCTAGGGAGACAGAGTTGAGGTCTTGTGTGAGGACCCTGCAGTCCTTGAAGCCTGAAATATTTACCATCCGATCCTCTCTGGGGTCAGAGTCCAGTTAGAGCATCCGTCCGTGCGAAACTTTCCTTCGTCATCTTCTGCCTTTGAGCCCATCCCCTATTTCAAGAAAAATCATTTATTGTATAATTATGTGCTTTAAGACTGTATTATTTAGTTTGGATTCTTTTTGAGCCTTATGACCACTTATCTACATAACCTGGGCATACGGATTAACAATTTTTTGTATGGAGGCTTCTATGATTGCCGTAATAACTGAAAATCGTATTTATGAGCCTGTCTGCATTGTGCTCGAGGGCATTCATTTCCCCAAGACTGTCCTCTATCAAGCCTGTCACCACGTGGCCCGGAGCTGTGTTCAGGCTCCTCACCGTCAGCAGCATCTTCTGCTCAGGAGGCCCCCTGGGAGGCTTCCGGCTGGCGGAACTGCTGGATGCTCGACTTTATGAGCGAGTGAGCGTGTCATTGAGGACGTGCTCGCTTATGTGGCCATAGCGAGCGACCCTCCAGTCTTCACGGGTTACAACAAAACAGCAGAGGCTCTGTCTGGCCATTAGCTGGGGCTCTGCCCTGTTATTTCACTCTTGGCCTTAGAGGGAGGAGCCACTTCGCCCTGGAACACTGGCCATCCTCTGGGGCAGGAGAGACGTCTTTTCCATTCCCAGTTGGTTGGACGGATGCAGACCTGTGGAGCAGGTCATGCAGCGTAGCCAGCCGGGCAGGACAGAGCAGAGAAAGCTCGCTGTGACACTTGCGGGGGCAGCGCGTGTTTCTGAATGCGGCTTCTGTCATAGTCGGGTCACCTGCGTGTTCCACTGAGCCCTGCCTTTGCTACGCTCTGTCACTGCCACACATCAGCTTTGCCAGCTCAGTAGGGTACTTCCCTGGGGTCTCACTTCGCACTGCCTTGATTACTAAGAGTGTCCCGACACTCGACACATGTCTGCATGTTTTGTACTTCTTAAGCATGCAGTTGCCTGCTCCTCCTTTATCACTTGTCCTTGTCAACTCAGAGGGTTCCTTTAGTAGGCTAGATGGTAATATTTAGTCACTTATAGGTAAGATAAATATCATTTTGTGCTTCTTATCTCTGTAGAGACATCTCTATCTTTCTATTAATAAGCAAAAATGTTCTTCATTGAACTGAGCTAAATTTATTTTTCTTTTCTCGACGGTTGACCTTTACCGTTGCCTGATTTAGGAAATCCTTTTCTGTAGATTATGATAAAAATATTTGCTCACATTTCATTCTGAAAGTTTGAACTTTTGGCTTTCAAATTTAGCTCTGACCTACCAGGAATTGACTGTTGTATGTATCGGAAGGAAATGATGCTCTT